GAATCACTATAAAAAACAGAAATATAAATCAGGTTTATTTGATTACAAATGAATACATTTCGATAATCAAACCGGTACAGCAGGAACTCACCAGAAATCCAGGCACCTGCACAACTAATGTTATTAATTTTCCTGCTCCAACCTTATTCTCAGAAATCTGCATTCCCTTTCATTGTGTTTCTAGAGCAAAGGAACAAGTATGGAAATGCAAAAGGATGCTCGCTCTCTCTTGTTCATAAAGTGTGATCAATGTCATTTCTCCTTAAACTGACTATATAGGTACTATCCAGGGAATCATGTTAGTTCTGCAGCTATGGTCAAACACAGCTCTGATTCAATGGCCCCTCTGACCTTTTTTAAACCTTTAAAAATATCTACCCAAGACAGTTACCACACTAACTGTGGAAGACAAGAGTTTATCACTATGAATACTTGTAAATTCTTGAAGAAGCCAGGCTTCCAAGAGGGGAGGTGTCATGTAACATATATACCTTGCCAAAAATTTTTTTCAAAAACAGCGGGAGAAAGCTAAGAAATTATCCCCCAATACAACATTCTCTAAAGTTAGAGGATGATGCCAGCCTACGTTCTGCCCCAATACAATTGCTCTTCACAAAATCCCTAGTGCCATTGTGAGCTCCTTGTAGCAGAATATGCAGTTCTTCCATCCCAGAAGAAGCCAATCCTAATGCAACAGAATAAATTGTAGTACAGCTTTCCTCAAACCTGCTACTTGATATCCCGATATAATGGACACCAACTCACATACATTCTAACTAGCACAGTTTCCATGCGTGGTTTCCATGCCTACTGAGAATTATGGAAGTTAAAACCCAACATACATGCAGGCCATCAAGACTATGTTTAGTCATCAAAACAAAAGCATCCTACTAACAAAGATAATAAGGACAAAGACATAACAGAGGTCAGTGCAGGTTAGCTTATAGAAGAACCTGTGGGTTAGGAAAATCTATTTTGATACAGAGTTTACATTACATTAAGCCAGGTTTTCATACAGTGAATCAGCCATAGTAACTTTGTTTGCTCCTAATAAGCCAGGATTTTAATCAAGGTTTGTAGCCATTGCAGTGTCATACATGATGATATACTATAACGAACAGATTCTATTGTGTGCTAAGTCAAAACAATCAAACCACAATATGTTCATGTGATATTTAAACCCAGTCATTGCTTTACCTTTATTACATCTATCTCAGCCAGCACTCAATCAGCTTTCAGAAAAAAATCATTCATGAGTCAGTGACAGGAAAGCTGAAGAACTCATGATACTAAGGACCAACTCCCAATATATCCATGCAACAGATCCTAATACATTTCTATGAATGATTATTTTATGTAAATTTGACTTCAAATATCTCATGCCCCAAACAGGAAAAATCACAGCTGGTCATTTTAATGATGCCATTAGTGAATCATGAATCAGTGAATATGTTCTGGATGCAACATTGTCCTTTTCCTAATACTTTTAGGTCTATTGTGGTTAGACAGTCCACAAACAACCTGGGTCCTACTCAGGTTGCTGACAGAACTGCAGGAAGAGATTCCAGTACCTTGCAAGTGTACCTAGGAAAACTGGTGAGGTCCTCATTGATTATGGGTCGGTTAGGCCAATGCTGGCTGATTTGCTCTTTACTCTAGGTTCTTCAGGAAATCCAGCAGCCCCTGGTGCCACTCATCTGGCTTATCAAGGTAACAGGCATGGCCTGCCCCTTTCATCATCATTATCTTGTGATTAGGTAAGTTCTTCAAGTTGTTCAGGCTCGCTTCACCCAGCTGGACATCTTGGTCCCCATATACAATGAGAGTTGGTGTCTGTATGCAGGAGAGAAATCAAAGATGGTCAAATCAACAAATGAAAAGGTCTGCCTTTTTCGGGTCCTAACAATGAAAAACTGTTTCAGATGAAAAATAGAGACAGAGGTATTCTCTTCCAGGAAAAAGACTTCCCATATTGTTGTTCAATTTATGGGGCTACGTTAACCATGTAGCTAATTTGTACTTGCTCTCTGTGTTTTATAATGGCATGCTCTTAGCCCAGTTTTCGTGCTATAAATATATCCAATCATTACTAGCAAGAGGATGATCCTTTCCTGGTGGTGATAGAAATGCAAATCTTCAGCAAAGAAAACTTCTACATTTGCAAAACCGAGTAACTGCAGCAGATATATTCAGGAGGACTCTAGGGAATTCCCATTATTATCAAAGCCAGGACTATCACCCTAGCTAAAAAAATTTGCAGATCATATTTGCAAGGGCAAAGGTACACACTGGAGACTAATATTAGAAAAGGCTAAAATCCAAAAGAGAGCAATTTGGACAGGGGTCAAATTAAACGCTCTACACTTGCAAGAGGCATTATAAAGCAGTATTTTAGAGGTCAGAGAATGTTCACAGAAATTTATAGCAGGGATTGTTGTCATCCTTCTACATCTAAAACTACAATTCATTTTAAGTGTACCAGACTCTTATTGTTGGTGCAAGCGTGGAACTTATCTGCTGGTATAATAAAGCATGCCATAAAATAAAACTGAACCCAGAGAGAATCCTTGCATCTGAGTATTCTTTTAGAATGGTATTGCCTGTTTTCTTAGCAAGTCTTTACAAAGCTATAAATATTCCACAGGCTGAACATAGGCCTGTTTTTCCTTGTTATTAGTACTGTGTTTGAGGGTAAGGCAGTGGGCATTGCCCTCTAATGGTCAACTGAGGAACTCCTGCGAGGTTTATAACAAATCTGTGCCTGATATCCACTTCCAAATTTTCCTCACATAGTTGTGAAATGCCGGTTGCAAAACTGAGATAACCCAGCCCTTCTAATTATGCCTTGTTTTAAAGAAGACCTGCTCCAGAGTTGACTTCAGAATTCCCTTCCTCTCTAGACTGACATACCTTGACACTGGCATATTGGGTGGGTGAGAATTTCTCTGTGCAGATGGGAGCCACTGGGATGTAGGCCTTGAGAAGGTGATTGTGCTGAAAAAGGAATGGAAGTGAATACATGCCACTGAGAGATGGACTGATCACCACCACTTGGTCAAATTGCAGGGCCTCCAAGACGGACTTCAGGAAACTGCCTGGTGCCGGCTCTCCAATAGGAGCTGGAGCAACAGCATCTTTGGAATGGCCTAATCCTGGATCACAAGAAACAAGACATCTTGCATCAGACATATTCCATATGTGTAACCCTCCCTAACCAAGCACCCTCCAGATGTGTGGAGACTACAACTCCCAGCATTCACAGCTCATAGGGACAATAGGCATTTTGGCTGGGAAACCTAGAAGGAGTTGTCTGAGGACTGAGCAATATATGAGCACTTAAAATAAATTATAAACGGGGTGAAGGGGATTCATGGACTACACGCAATCCCTGAATTTCACTTTTTGTGGCACTTGAACCCCCAATAGAATACCATCAAAATTGGTGGTAAATTGTTCAATAAGATGTTATTGTCTACCTTTTTCAGAGGGGTAGAGAACTTCTGTGGCCAGGTAGACCAAGTTGGGAAGCACCTCCAAAATCCTGTCCCTGAACCCTCTGGTTATTTCACTACACTATCCTATTGCAACTCTTGGCTGCTGAAAACTAAGTGAAGGTGTGTGCCCCTGCACCCTTTTTGGTGCCGGGACCTAAGGTTGCCTGCTCCTGGTTTAGATGTACAAAGGCTAAAATCATCCTTTGGCTGTAGCATCATATTTGCTGTAAAACATTATGGAGGAATAAGCCTTCCCAGTCTCACACTCCCTCTCTTTCTCTCTCATACACACACCCACACAGAAACATCACACAAAGCTAGGATGGTATACATAGTTGTGTTGCACTGTCAATTAAGCAGGTATCAATGTGATAAGCTCTTGGGTAGGAAGTTCCATATAAACACCTCTGAACTTTTGGAATAATTTAGATAACTACATAATAGTTAATGGATGGTAGAAGGGCCATATTTTATTTCCATATTAGATTGACTTACCAGATTTCCCAAGCCAAGAGAGACAACTACCAAGTCCTTCCATATGTTATACTTCTACCAAGTGCCATTACAGGTAGTACTTGTGTATTGACTGCCTCATGCAGCAGCCATTTGAAGTTACAAACACTAAAAAAATAACTTTGCAACCAATCCTCGCATTTACAACTGTCGCAGTGTCCCGCAGTCACGTGATCACCATTCAGTTGTTTTGCAACCAGCTTGCAACAAGCAGAATTAATACAGAAGCTGGAAGTAAAATCATAAGCCACAGTCGTGTGATTTTCTGCTTAGCAACCATGTCACTTAGTTTAACAATCAAATAAGATTATAAGCCTGTTGCAGCGATGTGATTTTCAGCTTAGTGACCAAGTTGCCGGTCCCAGTTGTGGTCGCTAAGCAAGGACTACCTGTATTACTGATTATATACATTTATACTCCCACATATTTACACATTCTTTAAATATTTATTCTAAGGTAACCAATATAACATAAGAGGGAAGTGGCCACAGATTTCAGAATTGCAAAAAACTTTAAGGAAAAAAAGCCTAAGAGGACACCCATACTTAGTACACTGAGAAATGAGCATGTTTATGGTGTGCATAAGCTAGTGACTGACTGCAGATGGAAAGAGGGAATGGAATGGAGTATCCAGGAAGCAGTCACAGACATCAAATTGCATCTCTGGGCAAGAGAACTATTCACTGATGCATTTTATTGCAAATATCTCTTGCATGTTGAAAAAAGTGTTGGGGAAAAAAACCCCTATCTCTTCCCTTGAACCCAGAAAAATAGCTACCTGAATTGTAACATGATTGATGCATCTTTCATAAGGAACTGCTTTTATATGTTTTCTTACATATTACATTTGTTTTCTTACATATTACTGAATTACATATTATTGAATATGTAAGAAAGCTGAATACCAAGACAGTGGGACAAAAAAAATCACAAGCATCTCTAAACCTTAATTTCCCTGTTGCATCTCTGGAAGCTCAAACACGATGCAGATTTTTAACTTTGTCTAAAACAATCCATGTTTTGGCATGATGTTTGAATTGAGCTAAATTGTGTTTTAGAATCAACATGCATATTTTGTGGCCACTGTATTATGTACGAATACCATTTAATATAAAAGCACAATTTATCATGTTAATATCATAATTAGTCTGAGAAAGAATACTTCTTTTACTTTGAGATTGTTCTTGTATCACACTAAGCCTCATTTTTGACCACAATTTTTTGGTCTGGTTTCATGTATTCTGCCCTATTTTTGCTTCTGGTGAGGTGACATGTTCTTCTTAAGGATCAAATTTCATACACCTGCCTTTATTTTGCCCACTCCCCACTGAGAGTCAGGCCCACCTGGCAGATCAATAGCTACAGCATGATATCCAGCTTCTGCCAAATTAGTCAAAGTCTGCAGGTTGAGCCACGTCTCTGATGAAAAACGAATGCCATGTAGGAGCAGGATGGAAAGGCGAGGCGTCTGCTGGGTAGGTTTAGCCTGGCGGGAGAACAGAGTCTGCCCACCCACTACGATGGTTTCCTCTGTCAGCTGGATGGCAGCCATCACTTTGGGATCTTCCAGGAAACCTGAAGGCATGAGTACCAAACAAGGAGAAAATGTAACAAAATTTAAAAAGTAAGTAGGAAAAAGTCTGGCCCAGCTGCCCAGTTGGGGTGTTACTAGACTGTGGATTCAGAGTAGGAGTCCTCAGGGGCAATTTTTGTTTTCAGTTTAGTACTCAAGAACAGACAGTCACAGACAAAATACACTGAATCAGAAGTATCCAGAGGAAAATGGTAAAAAAAGTCAAAATGACAACTATGTAACTGAAGCCCAGCGGGCATAAAAAAGTGGGTAAGGCTTGGATCACATGGTTGTGGCTGCCATCTTACAGCCCGCTGCGCTGAATGTCCTGCTTTGGTTAGCTAATGGAGGAATGCTTTAAGACACATGACATTAGTTTCTTGTGATCTTAAAATGAGATTAATACAACAAAAAATACTGCTTTATGTATATTGGATGTCTCAACAATATTTAATAAAGGTTGGTTACAATTCTCTTACTGCAGGATATGCAACTCAGGAATTACAACATTAACTTGTATCATCTGATCTTGTCACATTTGGCTCACATCAACAAGACCATTAATATAATTTTAGATCAATCCATATATGTTAAAGATGTCTTGTTATGCTGAGTTTCAACTCCTGGGCCAGCCAGATACTGTATTATGGGAGTTAGTTTAATATAGTGGGGCAAAAAAGTATTTAGTCAGCCACCAATTGTGCAAGTTCTCCCACTTAAAAAGATGAGAGAGGCCTGTAATTTTCAT